AACAGCGAACGAAGACAACGAAGGAACACGGACACAAGATAAGTAAACAAGTATATAACGTTAATTTAATTCAAATAATCGAAAGGGGAAAAAACCTATAGAAATCAAACCATATTCGGTGTCCTAGTGCCCTTGAGTAGAATAAGATACACTCACTTTGCTTTTCAAATAGTGACAGCTCTTCTTGGGCAGAAAGTAGAGCTCTTTGTTCAGCTAGGAGATGACTGAGTTGGTACATTTCTGCCTCAAGGTCTGGATAAAATATATGGTCAAGGGATAATAATGAAACAAACAATTGGAATTTGCCAACACTCAGTGTAGAACATTTATTTAAACGGGGGTAGGCATTCAGTTAAAGGCTAAAGGCATGTAGGTATTGACATTGGTATAATCTATTGTGCTGTTTATATTAAAGCTAGACAACAATGCAACTGGTTTATCTCTGAAAAGGCTCATTGTGACTACCCTACTTCCTCTTTTATTCCCTCGGCCTTTAACTCCCCTCTCTCTCTTCCCACCAACACTTGTAAAATAAGCCCCCAGCCTCTAAAACCAATGTGGCCCTTGAAAAGGCATTTCACCTGTCAAGATTATAATTAAATATTAAAAAATAAGTATGAATTTAAAAGATCAGACAACTTTATTAAGCTTCCAGCCTCTAATGAGCCCTCCCCCCCCCCCCTGCCCAGCCCAAATATCACTTAAAACATAGTGATAATGCCTCCAGAGGGCTTAATGGAGGAAATACGGTACATTACATGCACATTAAGCATATATTTCGCATGGGAGTGGTCCTTGCCCTCCTCCCCCTTCCACACACAATATCCCCTGAATCTGTCTAAGTGGAGTTGATATACACGTAAAAAATCCCTATTATGTTTTCATCATAAAGATGCCTTTACCTACGTACGAATAAGGTGGGTCGTACGAAAAACAGGGTGGGGTAGGGTACAAATATTTCCCACAAGCCCAGGATGATACGTATGGAAATTGTGAAGGATACAAGATATTTCCTTTGACGTTTCGATAAACTGTATGTAATTCTTATAGACATTTTTCTTCAGTGCTATGGCTGTTTCTTCGCTTAAAGCTTGGATTTGACCTCGGTGTTCTTGAAGTTCGGCATCAGTGTCACATTCAGAAGATAATCCATGAACATCTACGAAAAAACAACATGAAAAAAGCGGAAAGATAAAATTTTCGAGCTTCAAACATTCATGGATTGTTTATAAAATAACAACATTAATACGGTAGAACTACGAATTAAAGTTTAGAAATTTAATATTACTATAATTTAGAATTAATTTTTGATGTCTTACATTTTTCAGGAGAGAAAGAGGAGGTTGAAAACATCTGCAAGAGCGAAGAAGACGAAGGAAGGTCTTCCGACGCCATTTTTGTTTTCCTGCGCGTCATCTTGCGCGGGTATCCTGTGGTGGATATTGAGCGAACAAATAACAAACAAACAAATGTGGCAAATAATTTATTTATGATAATCAATATTGTAATAAAATATTGAAAAAGAGGAAAAAAAGTTAAGAGGGTTTTTTAAAGCAAAGAATATTACTTTGACATTTTGAATGGAATGTCAGCGGTTGCTCATAGAAAATGTCACGTGATCTTAAACACATGCTCAAAACCAAGATGGCGGTTTATTGGAACGTCAAGATTTTTGTCTCGATTCTCTCGTAGTTTTTCATCCTTTATAACCTTTATTTCCTTCCCCTTAAACCAAGATGCAATCCCTTAATCCCTAAACTAAACAGATCGAGTTCGTGATGCTTCAAAGTCAAGCGCCAAACCCGGTAAAACCGGTGACGAAGCCCGTCATGTCGAACCCCGTTGAGGCAAACTCAACTGACGATCAACGAATGTTCATGAACAGGCAGCCGTTGGTATTCGATGGAAAGCGAATGAGGAAACCCGTGGCAAGAAAAACTATTGATTATAATTCTAGCGTAGTGAGATATCTAGAGGTAGGTTGTTCTAGATCGCGTCTTTGCGGCTCTTCATCTCTAGTTGGTCACAAATTAAATAAAGAAGTAGTTTATGCTCTTCTACCTTCGCAAAATCGAAATCAGCGCACATCCTAAATCACTGAACTTCACAACTAATCATCTAATCTACTTGAAATACCCCAAAGTACATTTTTTCAATAAAATGAATTCAATCTTTTTTTTTTTTTCAAATAAAATTTCGACAGTTTTTCGACGACTAAAACCGGCATTTTTCTTTACAAGATTGTTAATAAAAAAACGAAATCCTATGCTTTATTTATCAATGGTACTAATATAAAATCGGAGTTTTTAAAAAGTCGCCTTATTTTGAAGAGAAAGCTTTTCACCAGTTAGAATTGCACACTTTATGGGAGATCTTAGGTCGGGATTCATCATCTCTGGGCTTCCTGTGGTCTATGCTCGTGCTTGAAAATAACCAAACTAATGAGAATACATGAATTTTTAATGGAATACTGATACCAAGGTTTGCATTGGTCCAGGAATTCCTGGAATAGACCTCTCTATCTTGGGTCTAATGTTTTCCCATTTCAGACCATGTGTCATCATTTCCTAGAGTATTATTTTGTTGTTTAACGGTTGCACATGAAAAGACACATGAATAATGGATATCACTCAAGCAAAGAATATTTTTCTCTAGAGAATGACATGGTCTGAAAAGGAAAATATTACTCCCAAGGTTAAGAGGTCTATTTTGAAAAACTATTTCAAGGCCCTGGATTGTTTATTCAGAGTTGCATTTTTTCCCCCTAGAATCGTAAGTGGTTTAAGAATCTCAGCTCAAGACATACAATCCAGCCAGATGAGTCATATGCTACTGAGGTAAAGATGTTATCTTTGTATTCGCAAAGATTATGTTTATGTATTTATATGGGTGAGAGAATTAATGAGAAGATAGCAACACACAATTTATTGTCACTTCTCAAGCCAAACTGTAATCTGTGAGTATTGTTGATGTACTGGGCTGCACAGCAGTACTACTTCAATCCTATTTATTTTTTATTTATCAATGAATTATTATTTCTTTGGTTGTTTTAAGGTATTACCACCATCTTGTATGCAAGATAATCCCATCAATGCAGTTACAACAAAGTTTGTCAGAACTTCAACTAATAAGCTAAGATGTCCAATCTTTTGTGTGGTGGTGAGTGACTACATTAAAATAAAGATTTGATTTTTCTAGTAGACTTAATTGTATAGTATACGTAGTTCCAAATTTGTCGGCATGACCCAAATCCCAAAGATCAACTAATAATGTACCTCCTGGTACTCCCCTATGTTCGCTATACGGGTACGTTGCGCCAAACAGGGTATGGTTTTCAGCGATTCTACTCTGGAACAGAGTATATAAAATCGCGCTCGCTCTGGGACATGGTATATGAAATCACGCTCTCTCCTATCTCTGGAACAAGGTATCCATTTTCGCAATACCGGAACACGGTATGATTTTCAGAGATCTTGCTCTGGAACAGGTTATGAATTTCAGCAATTTTACTCTGGAACAGGGTCAGGGTTCAGTGGGCTCAACAGCACATCCCTACCCTAAACTGGCAAGAGAACCCCCCCGGGAATGTACTCCAGAAATTACACACTAAATAATTTCAACTTGACATTATTTTGATAAAAGGTTTCAATAAAACAAACTTGGAATTTACTAGTGATAATGTAGAGCTCTACTTTGTATATCAAGTTATGAAGCTGTTGTCATTTCAACTTATTTTATATTCTTTTAGTGGACTCCTGAAGGTCGCCGTCTTGTAACTGGTGCATCCAGTGGAGAGTTTACACTTTGGAATGGTCTGACATTCAACTTTGAAACAATTCTTACTGTAAGTGATTGTATACCATATTAATAATTATAGTTCTTGATAGACAGACGTGTAATTGTATGGTAATTTTCCATCCACCTTAACTACTTTAAATATTGTCTGTTGTGGGGTTATATCCTTGGTATGGTCTAACCTCCACTGGCCTTTGCTGCTATTGACTGAAACTAATAAATAAATTAGTTGTCAAAGCAAAAACAAGAAAGAAGTTTAATGTTTGGCCAGGCAGTCCACTTATAATAGTATCTGTATAACTTGTTGTTGTTCCTTCTATTATTGCTGTTGCTGTTTCTGTTGCTTTACTTGCTGTTTCTGCCGCTTTTGTTCCTGCTGCTATTGTTGTCACTCCTGCTGCTATTATTGCTGCTGCTGTTATTGCTCTTGTTATTATTGGAGCTGTTGTTGTACAGCGTAGTTGGAGCTGTTGTTGTAAAGTGTAGTTGGAGCCGTTGTTGTTGCTGCTGCTATTGCTGTTACTATCATTGCTGCTGCTATTGATGTTGCTGCTGTTACTTCTGCAGCTATTGTTGCAATTGTTATCATTCCATGTTTTGGAACCGAGAAAGTATTTTTATGGGCATGGTCAGGTGGACAGTCAAGAGTGATCTTCTCAATCCCTTGGGGTAGTATTATCTTATGTTGACAACAATAAACATGTATTATTTTTGCACAGGCCCATGACCTACCAGTGCGTTCAATGGTCTGGAGTCACAATGACTCCTGGTTATTATCGGGTGATCATGGTGGAGTAGTAAAGTATTGGCAATCCAACATGAATAATGTACAAATGTATGAAGCACACAAAGAGCCGATAAGAGGATTAAGGTTAGTATAGGAAATGCCACTGTTCAAGAAGAATTAATGAAAAATAAAATATATATTAATAAAAAATGATACTATAAGCATTTGATGAAAGTGACTTGAATATACCACAAATGCATAGCACTTTTAGTGAAAGTGGCATAGAGCCGATAAGAGGACTAAGGTTAGTATAGGAAATTCCACTGTTCAAGAAGAATTAATGAAAAATATATATGAATGAAAAAATACGTAATACTATAAGCATTTGATGAAAGTGGCTTAAATATACCACAAATGCGTAGCACTTTTGGTGAAAGTAACTTAGAGCCTACCAGTAAGAGAATTAAGGTTAGTATAGGAACTGCCATGGTTCAAGAAGAATTAATGAAAAATATATATTACTAATGAAAAATACTATTATAAGCATTTGATGAAAGTGGCTCAATATGCCAGGAGTGTGTAGCACTTTTGATGAAAGTGGCTTAATACCACAAGTGCGATCTTAAAGATCAAAAGTTAAATGCAAAATGAGGTTTTGACTAGTGTGTTCTGGAGAATTAGCTAATTTTTGTTTTCTCTGCAGTTTTTCTCCAACAGATAATAAATATGCATCATGTGCTGATGATGGTTTGGTCAAGATATGGGACTTCTACCGCTGCACAGAAGAAAAAGTTTTAAGAGGTATGTATTTCCTTAGAAAATGATTAGCATAAGTAGAGCGCAGTGTATGTAGTGCACTCCCGAATTTGAAACTGAAGAAAAAGTTTTAAGAGGTATGTATTACATGTACCTTAATATATACAGGATAGATGTGGCAGTGCACCGTGTGGGATGGGCTCGAATATCAAATAAGAACATGCGTAATAAGTAAATTACGAGCCTTAGATCCTTACTATAGAGCCTTAGAGCCTTCCATCTATCTAGTACTACTTTTTCGTGGGATTGCCAGCTCACTAGATACACTGTGCTGACGAGGCCCAATACAGGCCGAAACAGCTGTCCACAGTTCCTAGTTGAGCTGGCTCATTTTTTACGCGACTTGAAGTTGTGAAAGGCTTGTATGGCACTCTTCTTCAGTCGTTTCATCTAAGGCTCGTAATTTACTTATTACGCATGTTCTTAATATATACAGCGCAGTGTATCTAGTGCACTCCCAAATTTGAAACTGAAGAAAAAGTTTTAAGAGGTACATGTATGTATTACCTTAGAAAATTATTAGCATTTATAAAGCGCACTGTATGTAGTGCACTCCCAAATTTGCAACAACAAAAAAATTCCTCAATTTATACGTTTATATTAAAATGCATTGTGACACTATTACAGTAGATGTTAGATAAGAAGTTTTACATGCATATTTCTTTTAGGTCATGGTGCAGATGTCAAATGCCTTGATTGGCATCCAACTACTAGTATTTTGGTGTCTGGAAGTAAGGATAGCCAGCAGCCTATTAAAATTTGGGACACACGAACAGGCAATAGCCTTGCAACACTGTAAGATAGTTAATTTAATGATACAATTTTAATTGCCAGTTTACATATGATGTATATTTAGTTACTATTGATATGAGATAGAAACAAACATAAATTCCACTAAACCTTGAAAAAAAGCTTCTGAAATGTTGGGTTCATTTTTCAGTCTCGACAATTAACATTTGCAACGGAATAGAGTTTGTTGCATCTCTCCCTTGCCTCAAGGGTTTTCTCTGGTTTTCCCAAGTCCTAAATTAAACTGTAAGTTAGCTATGTCTTGACTTTGAATATAGATGGTCACGGAGGTTCATTATAAATGATTGGACTACTATAATGTCCACAAAAAACTAGTTTTAGGTAAATACCAAACAATTTTTTTCAGTGTTTGAGCACCCAAGGAAAGTTCCTATAAATGTACTGTAATTTGTGTGATTGTGCAATCTTACTGCAGTTTTCGATATTCTGCGAACTTGTACATTTCAAGAGCTTGTTATGAAATTGGTTTTTACTGCCGCCAGTCAAGAACTTAAAAAGTACTGACTGATTATTTTTGATTGAAGGCAGCGAAAAACCATATTTCAGCATGCAGCTTTGAACTACTAAGTTTGGAGACTATTGAAAATTACAGTAATTCTACTGTAAAGGTACTGTAGATGGTATAATTTTGCTTTGATTTCTAATGATAGCCATTTACACAAGAGCACCGTCATGAGTATTAAGTGGAACCAGAATGGGAACTGGCTTCTCACTGCATCTCGTGATCATCTGCTGAAGTTATTGGACATCAGAATGATGAAAGAAGTGCAGACCTTTAGAGGACACAAAAGAGAAGCAACTGGTTAGTTTTAAAAGATTGCAATCAAACGTTTACATGATGGCTTCATCTTACCAAACCAACCAAAATGCTTTGCAGATTTTGTAGTTTCAGAAAATATCCATACTCCCATAATGTAGGGAATTCATAAAACGACCCCCTACCATCAGGAACATCCAATTTTCTTCCATACAAACTCTGTAATTTTTTTCTTTCTCTGACCCCCCTCCCCTCCTTAATTTCCGATTTTCTCCATGGGTGGGGTATGGATGTTTTCTGGGACTTCATGTCTCCTTATTTATTCTCGTATTTGTAAGAATCCTGAAAAAAGTCGTGAGGCTCAGCCCCCCCCCCTTCCCCCCCTCCCCACACACACCCAACTCTTATTTTGGGGAGGGGGGGTATAGCCCCCACCTTTGCTACCTATGAAACAGAGTTTTCACAGCATACTACACATACATTGTACCCATGAACTTATTGTCCCTGCTTTGTCTTTCAGCAATTGCATGGCATCCTATTCATGAGGGTTTGTTTGCAAGTGGAGGATCAGATGGTTCTATAATGTTTTGGAATGCAGGGTAAGTAGAAAGTCATGGCTATGTCATGATGAAGAAATAGAAAACATGCACATGCGCTGTGTGGAGTTATGAAGCAGGGGTTGGCAGAACACGAGAGAAGTGTTGAGAAGCATGACGCATAGCAGAGTGCTTGTCGACACTTCTTGAGTGTTCTGCCAATCCCCAAATGCTTTATAACTCACACAGCACGACAAGCAAGCTTTTTATGAAATGCAAATTACAAAAATCATTATTTTAGATAGGAATGATGCAACTGAAAGTATGCATGCATGCTGTGTGCTCTCATAAAGCACGCACTCCCAACCAATCAGAACGTGAAATTTAGAACCATCATTTATTTTCACGTTTTCTTGTTGTTGACAGTGTTGAAAAAGATGTTGGTAACATGGAGTTAGCACATGACGGCATGGTATGGAGTCTGGCATGGCATCCATTGGGTCATATCTTGTGTTCTGGATCAAATGACCATTCAAGGTGAGCAGAAAGGATGGTTTTTTTTATTTGTAATAAGCTATGATAATAATAGTAATAATCACATTCATCATATACAACTTTGTTTACTGAGACCCCGTCCACACTATGTCTGATAAATTTGAATCCGCAACTTTCTCACCGAAACCAAAAAAAAAGTTTTCCGTCCACACATGAAAATGGATAAAATGTTTCACGTCCACACTAGTCCGATCAGAGGCAGCAAAAACGCTTCATTGCACATCTGAGCATGTGCATCAAAGCTGAAATTGAGCCCGCGAGTATGTCAATTGATTAACATATAACATTTTATGAGATCTATTTTTAAAATTTATGACAACTAGTTTTCTTTCAAAAGTGTTTTATGTAAGAGTGCCTATTAATATGAAAATACTGTACTAAAAATGTTTTTTTTTAAAGCAAATTTTGGACGAGGAATAAATTAGGAGATAGAATGAGAGATAAGTACAATCTCAACATGCAAGACACAGAAGATGATACAGGTATGAGTGGCAGGGTGCTTAATGTATAATGTACACGGGGGGAGGGGGGGTGAGGTTGGGTGAGGCAGAGAGGCTGCATGCTCACTCCTCCCAGATGTACTTAAAGTGCCTTTTTATATAGTCTTTTCAGGACTCAAAATAATAGCTGGTCGTCCTACAATGTCCGGTCAAAATTAGAACTTGTCTGGTCAAATCTTTTCCTTGCTGATTTTTGACCAGTAACGCTGGCAAAAACTTGTAACCAGGAAAGGACATTATCAGGCATCGCCACATTCCAAACTGTTCCAGATGTCATCTATACAGAGCTTAAAATAATGGCCTGTTAGTCGCCAATCATGATCACCAACCAAATTAGTCTTAACTCTGTCATAGGAGGCATCATGGTTGAATGGTCATAGCGTCGGTCTCGCAATCCGGTGCCGGGGTTGGTGCCGGGTTTGAGTCCTGCTGTGGCCACTAGCTGAGACTGTATTTGACCTGATTTCTGATTAGTTCAGATTCAGTTTCTCGACCATGCTTGTAAATAGCCAACTGATTTGCCTCCTTGCCAGTTGGGATTCTTAACACACTTTATGTTTCTTTGATCATTCATTTCAGTTTATTAATTGTAGGAGGGCCATAATGGAAACTACTGGGTTACCAGTAATGTATGTCACCCTCATTAAATAAAGTCAATTTATTTATTTATTTTTATACCTCATGACCAACAAGCAAAGGTTTGATTGGACAAGTTCCAGTTCTGACTGGACATTGTCCTGTGACTGACCAGTATTTTAGCCCTTGTCTGACAATCCAAGGTCATAAAAAGATGACCGCAGCATAAAGAGGGCCACAATTTTGTTCATTTCAGGTGACGACATTGGTGCTCCTGGTTTCTCTGCCAACCACACCATGGCAATCCCAGGCATGGAATCAGCAGCAGAGGATCCTGATTCTTTCGAGTATGAAGACTTAGACTACTGTAAGTATAAAAGAGGGCCACTTTAATTCATATTTTCGACTCAGGCAATAGCGAAGCAATCACCGTTGCATCAGTTTTCCCAATGGAATTATAATCTTGTCCCACTAACTACAGTACACAGTATCTGTTTTAAAGAGTACTACAAAGATGACAAGGCAATTTACTATTCTGTTTGCAGGACAGTAAACTATTGAAACAATTTATAATTAATTTTCTGCGATCAGAGTTTTAAATTGAGATATTCTAGCTAATAGGTTTTTCCCGAATTCGCTTGACTGATCACGAAACAATGGTTTGAAGTCGAGGTTGAACTCGATGAATAAAAGAATCAAGTTCAGTCTTGACTGCAAACCATTATTTCGTGGTCATGCAAGCGAATTCGGGAAACGTCTATTCGTTAAGCTTGTGGTACATAGCAACAATAACTAAAGGTAGTCAGAACTATGAATAGAGGTTTGACAGTAATTCGAGGAAGGTCTATTAAGTTGTTTTCCTTGTGATGTTACAGCGACCTTACCAGGATTCAGAGGACCTCAAAGATCTAATGAACCAGATGTCAACTCTTCTCGACCAGAAAGACCAGTTATTCCTGGTTATGGTTCTCCACCGTCAAAACCCACACAACCACTACCTCCATTTGCAAACCAGGTTGAAGAGCCTGGTATGAAGTTTGCTCCGCCTAATGATGCTGGGCCAAGGCCACCATTTAGACCACGGGATGGTGATTTTGCAGGGCGTCAAAGGAATGAATATGCTGGTAAGATTCAGGGGAAGGATCTGGCAGTTTTGCTTTAGTGGTAGTGTAATTTTGGGGCCTTGAGTTTGAACAGCATATGAGTGAACAATTAGAGTGTGTTTTGTTTTGTTTTGTTTTGTTTTGTTTTTTCTCCCTCCAAACTCCGATCAGCTAACTTTGAGTTTGATCTTTGAGTTACTCATTCCATTGATCTATAGTAGATTCTTGTAGTGGTTGTAAACGTCCCTTGTCTTGAACTTGATCAATGGAATCAGCTCCACACAAGACCACGTGTTCTTGTAATTCAAGTTTTTTCTGTGTTCTCTGGATTTCCTGATTCCGCAAAATCCGAAAGGCAAAGTTCAAATTTAATCTGTGCCTTTTTAACTAATAGTTATGCTGCAGTGGTAGTGCACTTTTAGGGTCTGATTCAATGGGTTTTCTTTTGGTTTTTTGTCTCCCATAAATCTAAACGGGATCAGCCTAGAGGTATTTACAGGGTGTAGTAGACTTGACGGTTGTTTTTTTTACCAGGTGATAAAGAACGCCACTGGAAACCCCCTCCTCAGCAGTTAAACATGAAGTTTCATCCAGGACCCCCTACGGAACAAAGACCACAAGAACAAGGACCCCCAGCTGATCCACGAGAACCACATGGTCCAGATGCATGGGGACCACCAAGAGATCACCGAGAAATAGAAAACAGGGGCCGAGGAAATGAGCCTAGATTTGGCCCAGGTCCTAATTTCACTAGGGGTCCCCATGGTCCAGGTCCTAAGGACTCATTTAAGATGGGGCCACAAAACAACTCAGAACAAAGCATCCTTGGTTCGCCACCACGTGTTCCTGAGGGGCTTAGACCTGAACCGGAGAAATGGCCCCTCGTGGCACCTCCTTTGGGAGGTAGGATGAGTAGTATTCTTGGATCACTACCTCCCTTCACAGGACCACCGAATGCAAGACCTGGGATACTTGGTGCGCATCCTGGACTTGATAAGGAAAGAGAGCCAGAGCAGAGAAGACTAGTTGTAGGAGATAGAGACGAACACAGGGAACCAGCAAACTTCGAAATTCCTGGCGTCCAACCATCTCATCCTCATGACCTCAGCTCAAGGGGTTTCCGTAGGGGCATTGGCAAAGGGATCTTGGGTCCTAGACCAGGAAGTGACCAACAGCGTCCTCATCCACAAGATCTGAACGACGAACGAAATGGAGAGAATCGTGGTCGAGGGCGTGCTCCATTCCAACGAGGAGGTCGGGGAGGCCCTAGAGAGGCCCAAGGGCCTGACGACAACAGGCGACCATGGCCTCCTAATTCTGGACCCATTGATCCTAGATTTCGTAGACCAGAAGAACATGACCAAACTGATCGACATCCATTTGACAGACAACAACCATGGGATGAGCCTCCTGAGAATGAGCCCGTACATCCACATGACTTCCGAGGGCCACCTCATATGGAACCTAATCATGGAGCCAGAGATTTTGGCCCCCCACCTCGTGACCCTAGAGCAGGACCCCATTACGGACGTGGACCTCCTCAAGACATTGATACAAGAGACCCAAGAGGCCCCCCAGATCCCCCGGAAAGACGATCCTCCGATGACTCCCAGAGGCCCCCTGAAATTAAGCCCCGACCACTTATGAGCCTCATGAGTATAAATCCGATCATCCCTCCTCCAGGTAGAAAAATAGAACACGATGATCCAGATCGGTCTCCCAGTCAGAGAAAACGCTCTGGGGAGGGAGAACTTGAAAGAGAACGAGAAAGAGACCGAGAATGGGACAATTTGGGACCTCCACAAAAAATGAGGTTTCCTCCCGGTCCACCTGAAGATAGACGCGACAGTAGGGGAGAGAGACCCTTTCCCGAGGAACCAGTAGGGTGGAGAGGAAGGGGTGGCATGAGATGACGTTGCTTTTAATGTACATACGCGGCTTACCCTTACTCAAGTATTTTCTGCTTGGCATCTCTAGTCCATCGTACATCTGGAGTGCTTATCATTTAACCGGGGGAAAAACGGACATTCCAGTTAATAAAAAAAAATCTTTTCCATCGGAAAGTTCTGGAAAACTCGGTCTTCAGCTTGAGGTAATCCACTTTCCCGCTCTTTGCTTCTTTCGTTAGACGCGTGTACCATTTTTCGAATTCAAAGTTTCCCGCTTTTTTTTTTTTTTTTTTTTTTTTTTTTTTTTTTTTTTTTTACGATCAGCGAATAAATTTCAAACCGGATGGTTTGGTTTGAATGGTAAGCACTCCTGTAAGCTCCATATACCTGTGTTTTGGTACTGGTATACCACACGAAGATCAAAAGATATAAAGTTGTGATTGGACGTTGGCGTAATGCTCTTTTCTAGTGTTATGGTTTTCGTATCTTTTGCTACTCGTCCAGTTTCCGGCCTACAAAACCTAGGAACGGACTCGGCCATTGTCGCATAGTTCTCCATGAAATATATATTTTAAAAAATTTTGTACTATGAAAAGCAAACGATGCCTATGACGTCCCTTTTAAAATATCTTGCCAGATGATAGAGCTTCGATGCATCCAAGAAGATCTATTCAGTAACGTAATAGAAAATCCTATCTTCTCTTTTGGAAATTCTGCTACATATGTCCGTATAAACGCATTTTTTGCTAGTCTAAAGCTTGGTTTTCACTGGCCAAAATAAAACACAAGCGCAAGCGAAACAAAATAAGAACTGTAGTGCTTGAATTTGTGGATTAACTTTCAATATGGATCATAGAAATGCAGTTCTTTTATGAACCATGTTTTCAATATTGAAATCAATGGTGACTCGTCCTCAGTCGTATCTCACTTGTCTTCATCGACGCGAACAAGGGTCAAGGGAAGATAAGAAAGAAGGGCAGGACGCGTCGTCTCTCTTATTTTCCCCTTCCCTTGACCCTTTGCGCGCGCTCTTAAAATAAGAGGCGACTGGGGACGAGTCAGGGAATCAATGCACACATGATCATGACCTATCGCAAGTCACCATTTCTTTTGTATCCGTTTTCCGGAGAACCTGTACAGACCCCTTGCAACACTTTGGGATTCAGTTCACTTTGGGGGACAAAACGATAGGTTGCAACTCTCAGGAGATTGGAATTCTTTTTTTTGTCCCCCAGATTGTGCTGCTTTGACGTCACATGCAGGGGGTCTATAGCACTACAGTTGATGTTATGTATTCAATAAATCCATCGTATTCTATTGTATTAGGTGTGATTCAATCATCGTATTTTTATGAACACATTGCACTACATCAACTGTTTGCTACGTACCGCAGGCTCTCATTCGTTTTCCATCCTCCCTCAAACCCGACACGCTAAGTTCCACTTCGACCTGTTAGTTAGCAGTGAGTCTACTAGATTTCCCCCAAACGTTTATGACGCATACGTGATAATGCAGTATATAGTAATTTATATTAAAAATATTGATCACAGCTTTGTTTATATTGTGGTGCTATATATATGGCCAGATACAAGATTTTGAAAAGATTTTTGTTCAAATACACCTCTACCTTGGGTGAAATGTTTTCCCATTTCAGACCACGCGCCATTGTCTTGAGAATAAGATTATTCGTTTGAGTTACATATATATTGGTGTCATTCTGATCATAATTGATAGAGTTGATAGATACCTCTATTAACTATGTTCTGATGCGCAACCGTTAAACAGAGGTGATGTTCTAGAGAATGACAATTGATCTACATGTGATCTTTATTTTTTTATTTTATCTACCAAAGCAGGAAAATCTTGAAGGCAAACATTTTTTATCGCTGACGTAATTTTGATTTCAAGAACATAAAAGTCCCAATGTAAACAAATTGCTTCTATTCTAGATGGGCTAAAAAAATAAACAGCGCCAGAAAGGCACTTTTTACACTTCACTTTTTTTTGCGCTCTTCTTTGCATGCAAATAGATTCGAGAAAAAAAGGCACACAGTAACGTGATGAACGAAACTATGAATAAAATATATACTTAACTTTAGGGCCAGCGATACTCGAATGTGATTAAATATCACTTAAAGAGAGACGATAAAAACGCCACGTGATAGCTAGCCCCTATGTTTTGCAAGATCGGTGATGACGAGAGGAAACGCAGCCCTTCATACAAGACTAAGATGGACTGCAACTCTCGACCCTACGACCCTGTCTTTTATTGCGTACGCTGAAGGGAAACTGTAATTTCGTGTATCATGAGCATTAATAACAACAGCAATCAAGGGCGTTCTGCTTGGTCAGTGTTACTTAGTGCTGACCATACAAAGGAACGCACGCATTAGGTTTGTCAAAAATGGATGCTGCGCGCAGCCATCATTCAAAGAGCACCCCTCCCCCATATTTTATTCCCAAAACCGTGATTACGCCGTCTCGTTATTACTTTCGTTCTCTTCTTGTTCCTTTGTTTTGGTTTTGGCACGTTTCGTCTTCTTGTTGGCTTTTTCTGCTTCGTTTGTTGCAGCTATTTCGTCGCTAAGGCTTTTAATGTGCTTTGCCTGCCAATATCAATTAAACCAATAGATTAGCAATTCTTTTCGAACCAAAATCTTACAAGTGACGCCAACGTAATGGTCCTCAACTCGAAGGACGAGTCGGGGAGGGGGAGTATCCGGAAACAGAAACGTAGCGAGGTCTTGATTATGGGAGGAAGGGGGGCATTGACCATTTTCCCGACAAATTTACAGGAATCCAACATGAGTTAATTAAATTCTGGTCCCAAAATCAAAATTTGGAAGGTGGGGTGGGGGACGTGACCCCCGTGCACCCCCTCCCTACGGGATTATTCGGAAATTTAGTGCGAGGGTGCAATAAGGGTCAATAAAATATATAGTTCTTTAAATGAAAAGATGGGAAACACCTGGTGTAATTTACAAAAGAGAGAAAAATCAAAGCTGTGACAATCAAATGGTTCAACTGTGAAGAAAACGATTAAAAATTCAATTATAATTCTTGATTAAGGAAGTCAATTAAATGTTGTGAATATTAAATGGTTTCCACTGACACCAATAAAACAGAATAACAACATCTAATCACAACGCTCCAAATAGGAAGCCATTTTAACCATTTCTAATGGTTTCCGTTGCGAGTCCAAGAAAAAGAGAAGAAAAACATCCAATCACAAAGCTCCAATACATGGAAGCTATTTCAATGTTGACTATTAAATGGTTTCCGCTGCGAATGCAAGTCCAAGAAAAGGAGAAGAAAAACTTCCAATCACAACGCTCCAATCTATGGAAGCTATTTCAATGTTGACTATTAAATGGTTTCCGTTGCGAGTCCAAGAAAAAGAGAAGAAAAACATCCAATCACAAAGTTCCAATCTATGGAAGCTATTTCAATGTTGACTATTAAATGGTTTTCGCTGCGAGTGCAATTCCAAGAAAAGGAGAAGAAACTTGAACTTCCAATCACAACGCTCCAATCTATGGAAGCTATTTCAATGTTGTGACTATTAAATGGTTTCCGCTGCGAGTGCACTGAGTCCAAGAAAAAGACAAGAAAACATCTGGTCACGACGCTCCCATATCGAAGCCGTGTCGATGCGGTAACTATGAAGGTTTCGTCTGAGAGCAAAGCAGAAAGATGAAAATATCCAGAGTAGAAACCATCAAATTAAAACGCTCGATATTGAAGCCATTTTAATACTGTGTCTATCAAATGGTATCCACTGCGAGTCAAAGAAAAAGAGAAAAAGTATCCAATCACGACACTCCATATGGAAAATATTTCAAGACAGATGCTTCAATCATATGAATACTGTTGCAATAACTCCCTGATCATTTTGTCAGTCATTTTCCAATCGATACATAATAAAAAATTTTTTTAATTTTTACTCCAATCAAAATCAATGATGGTCTTCCTCTCAAAATATTCTGAAGCATCTTTAATTTCATGTCTTGAATTTGATATTTTTCATCTTATCTGTCAAGCCTAGGCATTTATTTTAATATTTCTCATTTCTTAAATGACAAAAAACAAAATCGTTAGGAATCGGCAGTCATTTTGTTGATAGAAAGTGAACTGTGATAAGATTCGTCTATAGACATAGGCGCGCATTAAGTAAACTTTGTGTACCCCGAGTTACACCAGCTGGCACGGGACAACGCTGAAAAATACAGCCTCGCTCTTTGAATTTCTTGCATATCCATTGACCAGAACACTTCGTTTTATATTATATCAAAAAGAAAGGATCGAAGATCGAACTGCGTGGAAATTGCTTTGGAAGACAGTAAAGTGATATTGCTTAAGGTAGGTTCACAAAAACCATTTCTCAAAAAGGAATTTGGTTTCAATTCGTATCTTGGTGTTTTGATCAAACAACACTTAGGCAAATTCCAAATACAAAACTGACACTGGAAGAGCAAAGTCTGGCAGCTTCTCGATATTTTAGGGCTTTTTTATAAATGCGTTGCTTGGGAACAATTTGATTTTGATTAGTCTATTTGGGGAGTCATTTTTTAGTAAAGCGAGATAAAAGAATGTCAAAAGAAGGGGGGAAAATGATACCTTAATAGGGTTAGGCGTTAAAATAAAGATTCAACTGAGAATGAAAACCAGTTTTGCGAAAAGGAAAATGAGCTTATTCACACAAAGAAAGGTCAAAGTCGTGGAAAAACGACTCTTCTCTTCTCTTCTCTTCTCTTCGCTTCTCTTCTCTTTTACTCCCCTCTTTTTGCTTTTCTCTTTGAAACTTGATTTTTTTAAATCTCTTTTCCTGAAGACAAGGATAAGACACGAGCTCAAACACACAATTTCCAATTTTTTTTTTTTTGGACACCTGTATGTATGTTCGTGTAATAGCTCTAAAAATACTTTAAAATATTGCCATTGCTGTTTCGCTATTCTTAAAATATTGTCTTTCAGTTAATGTTTCCTTAATTTACTTCCATTAACTCTTCAAAAACTGAAAATAATAAATAGTTTATTCATTCATTCACTTATGTCATCTTTTATTTACGTTTCAGTTTTTCACTCCAAAGAACACCAAAATGCCAGCTTTCAATATGAGTGCCAACGGTACAATTTTTCAGATCTTAGAAGGAGGCTGTTTCTTAAACGACGCCCTATTCATTCAAATCTTTCGTATGATTCCATACATCATCATAATCCCTCTCTCAATCCTCGGTAACCTATTGGTCATCTACATCGTGTACAAGGACACCTCCATGCGTAAAACAATCAATTACTTCATCGTAAACATGAGCATCGCAGACCTAGTGATAACCATCATCTACATGCCAAGAGTCCTCACTATACTCCTGTGGGGATATATATGGCTCGTTTCTGGTCCAATGGCAAACGTTCTGTGCAAAGCCGTGCCTTTTCTCTACGAAGTCGCTGTCCTATCCTCAATACTAACTGTAGTGGCTATCAGTTTAGACCGACTTTTTGCAGTAGTCTGGCCTTTGAAAAAAATCCTCACCAAAACTACTTGCAAAGTTCTCATGATGTTGATATGGTTGGTTGCCATGGTTTCCCGCTGGCCAATACCCTACGCCGTGAAGTTACAGATAGTCAAGAACGATGTCTATTGTTTTGTCTATTATGACGTTGTATTTTCCCCGGGATCTGATTTACTATTTTACAAGGTAACTTTAATAATATTCTACGCTCTTCCATTGACAGTCATTTCAATAACTTATACTGCAATTATGATAACACTACATAGACGAAAAATTCCCGGGTCTACCCCTGAGACGACGGGTCAGGATCTGCGCATTGAGCTCCTAAATCGTCAAGTGATGCGCATGGTGTTAGTAGTAGTCGGCAGTTTCGTTTTGTGCTGGTTGTTGTATTTCATCACAATGGTACTTAGGGCTATCTATCTAGTGGATATACCTTGCGACTTGTTCTATATGCGTCTAATGCTTGCTCATTGTAATTGCGCTATCAATCCGTGTCTATATGTGACTTTAAGTGAGAATTATCGTAGAGGGTTAATGAGGATTGTAAAGAGGGTGAAAGGATTCTGTTGTATGGGTAGTGGACGCATGCCCAATGAGAGGGTTGTGGAGCTGGGTGTTAGCAATACGGCGATGGAACTGACTACAAATAGAGGAAGTAGTAGTTGATTCGCTTATTCGACTGAGGAAGAAGTAACAAAGAAAGAAGGAAATAAAAGAATGATGTGGGAAAAGGAAGCAAGAAAGCAAATGATGATGAAGGGAAGAAGCAAACGAAACAACAAAGCAAGCAAGTCAGGAAAGAAAGGAAAGGAAGGAAGGAAGGAAGGAAGGAAGGAAGGAAGGAAGGAGGGAAGGAGGAAAAGTTTGGCTACTGAGTAAAAGGGCAAAAATGAAATATAGATAAGTAATGCAGCCACACCTAAGAACAATAGCAAAGAACTGATTTAGATATACTTTAGCAAGCCAACTAGTAAGCAGAAAAGGAATGAAGAACAAAAGAAAAAATAAACAGCTGTTTCTAGTTACTAGTGCACTATAGAAGGATATTAGAATGCAATATTATCTTACTCCATTAAATTTGGTTTAAAAATATTACAGTAAATATATTCTTCATTACATATGTTATTATTATCTTATGATTATTATTATTTAGTATAAATACACAGGTGATTGTTGAAAACCTCAAGCGATAATCCAAAATGACGGCCAGCCGCTTTGTTGCTGTTACCAGAAAAAAATGTCTTTTATCTTCTTTTCTTTTATTTTCTTTTTTTTTTGAAAGAATCACTGTGTATTTATACTAAAACAATTATTTGTCTCAGCCTCAGTGAATATCTGAGAATATTCACTTTGTCTTTGTCAAATAATTGTTAAATATTACATACCAAAGCAGGGCTTTTCCTTGCTAGCAGCTGTACATCATCACGGTTAATGGTTGTCCTTTTTGCATGCCTATATAATAAAAAATAAACTAAAATTAATTTAACTTCAAAAGTGGATTATTGCGACATTATAGATACCTGGGTGGTGATTTGAATACTGATTACCTGATTACCAGTCAATTCCCTTCCCCCCTCCCACCCTCCCACCCCCAACTGCCCATGACAGACAGGCATCCCAGCCACTTTTTAGACAAATTTGATAGGAAATATAGGCTGTGCAAGTTCTAAATATAGGAAAATATAGGATTTTTTCCCAAAAATATATGCACTTTATAGGTACTAAAATAGCTTTTCAGTGGAGTAACCAGGGATCTTGCAGGGAGGGTGCACAGGCAATGATTTGCAGAACCAAAAAGCCATAAAAAAAACAGAACCAAAAAAAGAGAACCATTTTATTACCTTCGCCAAATATGCTAAACAGTGTAAAATATAATGTATCACTCAGCAGTCGTCCTACTTATAAGAAATATAAGAGGTTTTCTATAAATATAGGCTCTTTATATGATCCTATACAAATTATAGGAAATATATGATATATAGGAGGTCTGGGATGCCTGCACAGAGTAAAGAAATTCACAGAAATCCACAACTAAAAAGTACTACTTAGATGAAAATCGCTCCAAAATTAAAACTTTTTCATTCAAGCTGGAACTTTGCTGAAATAATCTTTGATACATTAATAATCACTTGCTGCAATAAATTTCTGATATCTCAAACAAAAACTTATTACGAACAGTGGATTTTCGCTGTGACATCATACATTCAACCTATTCATGCTAGCGTCACTTGTAATTGATTACTCCACAAAATATCATATTCCCAGGGGTCTGTCCAACACACAGAGCTTTACAGGTTACTAGGGCTTAATTTTATTTTTACTTTGAGGGTTGTCTTAAGAGCAAAGAAAACTTTGTGGGGAAAATATGCATTACATAATATATTATATAAATACTAACTTTGCAAATAATTCGAGATCTACTGCAAAGGATTCTGAAACAAAATTCAAGAAAGTTATTAATTCTTAAAATTGATCATGGTGATATTTTTTACTGTAATTTGATCAATCTGACAGACTGACTGCCCATTAAAATTAATGATGATAATGATGATGTTGGTGGTGATGATGATGATGGTGGTGGTGTTGATCATGATCATGATTAAGATCATGATGAACATGATGATGATTGTAGCGGTGGTAGTGATTGTGATGGTCCTGGTGGTGGTGGTGGTAATAATCATTATCAAAAAAAGGGATGATAATGATGATGATGGTGTTGTTGATGATAATGATGGTGATGATGATGGTGATGTCGTTGATGATAAAGATGGTGATGATAATGTTGATGGTGGTGGTGTTGTTCATGATGGTGATGATGAAGATGATGATGATGAAAATGATGGTGGTGGTGATGTCATTGATGGTAATGATGATGATGATGATGAAGATGATGATGATGATGATGATAATAGTGGTGGTGGTGTTGATGATGATGTTGGTGATGATGGTGTTGTTCATGATGATTATGATGACGCTGGTAATGGTGATGATGATCAATGGTTATAATAACAACATAATAATGCTTAATAGATATTGATACCAAACCTTACCACATTGTCGATATGTAGTTTCAGTCAAGGCTGCAATAAATTGTCGAGAGTACTGCATGCCATTTTCTTCACATGTGGAACCAACATTATATTCCATTATTCAATATAACATTCATAGTTATAATAATTACTAATATTTTTTCATAATTACTAAACAGTCATTTTTAGCATTTACTTATTTATATTAATAAAAAAAGAGAATTATAAAAATATTTTCTTCAGTTTTCCGTGGTATGTCCTCTTATTTACCACTTTTTTTGTCATCTAGCCGTCGGGGAGGGGGTTGTTGGAAGGTAATGTCAATTATTATACTATATGGTTACCCCAATTCCACAGGAAGCCCAGGCCATCATTTTGGTTAATTACCCTATTTTCATGTGACATCGCATGAACACAGGGTGTGCAGTGACAAATCACATGAAAACAATTTTAGAAATGAGAAAATAAATATAAATAGCTGCCAAATAGCTACACAGTACAACACAAATTTTTTGACAGTATATTACAGTGAAAACAGTCGAGTCATGAACATTTCAAGTTTTATGTCACCTTTTTGTATATAAAAATCATCCCTTGATCAATAGTTAATAGAAGGGAATGGCTAGGAAACCTATTGACTGTACACAATGTTTGATTTATGCTCATCCGAAATTGCAAAATAAGTAAACATGAACTTTGTCTATGGGATTGTTGTATAGAATATTCAAATATCTCTTATAAATCTTTAAATATTTTGAACTACCAGCCAAAAGAAAGATTTTGGTCTGTTCACTCAGCCATTACCAACAATGGTAAAACAATGGTAAAACAAAGGATTGTGCAAAAAGTGAATAAAGACTTATAACAAAAGGGCTTCCTAACCATTCCCCTATTAACTATGCTTGATCAAATGGATTGGAATAAGATTAATAATTTGAACACTTGCTGGAGGGGATTCGAAACAGTAGAAAGTTCAGGAAATATCAACCTGAAAAAAATATACTCAAAGTGTAGTCTATAAAACAATAAATATAAGAACAAATACTTTACCTATCTCTATCTGTTCGCATATTCGTCCAACAGTATAGTGCAATGCTGCTTTGATTCTCTAAAACAGATAACATCAAAATGTACCTAGGATGTTATATGACTTATTCATAATCAAAGGATACTGGATTGTTGTGTCTACCTGTTGATAGGCAAGGGTTTCGTATTCTGAATCCTGTTCCTCGTCAGACGCCATCTTGGATTCGTTTTTCCCGCGCTATTTCTACCACAGGAAACCCAAGTTCGTAGGAGGCAACGAACCACAGGTATCCCAAGGGTAGCTACTGTTTTTAGTCACTTTCTATTCCCCTTACGGTCCATCTAAAATTGCAATTTTGTTAGAATTTTTGAGGACACATATCCTGACAAAATTCCACTTTTGTTTGCACTGATTACCCCAGGGCTCAACCCTCAATCGCGTGTTGGTTGGTGACGTGTCATATCTAAGCTTAAGTACCTTCTCAAAACGGCTTTTTTTACTAACTAGTTAGTGTTTCAGGGTTGTTTCATGAAAGCTGGCAACAATGGAAGAAAGCAAACCATTTGTAAGTATGATACACTTCGATCTAAAAACCTTTTTTAAGTGCCCCACACCTCTAACCATAGTTAATAACTCAAGATTGTCAGCATTGATTTTACATTAAGCATGATTTGATTGATGCAGGCATTATTAAATATACGCAACGTTTCTGGGACAGTAAAACATTTAACGTATAAGATATCATTGTAGTTACTCAGGGTGTAAGAACCTGATCTACAATAACGTAACATTAACAATATCCTATCGAGCGTGGCGTGCAATGTGGATTTAGTGTTGTACATCGAAAAATATATCTTCTACATCGGGTGACATACAGTGAAAGGACCTTATGAATAAAACATATCCAGTGAAGGGATCTCATGAATAGAACATATCCAGTGAAAGGACTTCGTGAATTAGATCACATCCAGTGAAAGGACCTCATGAATAGAACTTATTCAGTGAAAGGACCTCGTGAATAGAACACATCCAGTGAAAGGACCTTATGAATAAAACATATCCAGTGAAGGGATCTCATGAATAGAACATATCCAGTGAAAGGATCTCGTGAATTAGATCACATCCAGTGAAAGGACCTCATGAATAGATCACATCCAGTGAAAGGACCTCATGAATAGAACACATCCAGTGAAGGGACCTCATGAATTAGAACACATCCAGTGAAAGGACCTCATGAATAGAACACATCCAGTGAAAGGACCTCAAGAATAGAACATATCCAGTGAAAGGACCTCACGAATTAGATCACATGCAGTGAAAGGACCTCATGAATAGAACACATCCAGTGAAAGGACCTCATGAATAGATCACATCCAGTGAAAGGACCTCGTGAATTAGATCACATCCAGTGAAAGAATCTCATGAATAAAACACATCCAGTGAAAGGACCTCGTGAATAGAACTCATCCAGTGAAAGGACCTCATGAATTCAGATCACATCCATTGAATGGACCTCGTGAATAGATCACATCCAGTGAAAGGACCTCATGAATTAGATCACATGCAGTGAAAGGACCTCATGAATAGATCACATGCAGTGAAAGGACCTCATGAATAGAACACATCCAGTGAAGGGACCTCATGAATTAGATCACATCCAGTGAAAGGACCTCATGAATAAATCACATCCAGTGAAAGGACCTCATGAATAGAACACATCCAGTGAAAGGACCTCATGAATAGAACACATCCAGTGAAAGGACCTCATGAACTGAAGACAAAACAGCCCGTGTGCATACTGAACTTGAAACTGTTCTTGTATCAAATCTTTCTAGGTTTGATACCTGGTCCTCGCATAGTTAATAGAGGGGAATGGTTAGGAAACCTATTGTATCAAGGCCTTTGTTCGCTTTTGATGTTGAACCGGTCTTGATCATGCACAATGTTTGATTTCTGTTCATCCGAAATTGCAAAATAAGTAAACATAAGCTTTGTCTATGGGATTGTCGTAAGGAATATTCAAGTATCTCTTATAAATCTTTAAGTATTTTGAATTACCAGCCAAAAGAAATATTTTGGTCTGTTCACTCAGCCATTGCCAACAATTGTAAAACAATGGTAAAACAAAGGATTGTGCACGGTCACGCTTGAAAAAAGTGAACAAAGACTTATAACAAAAGAGTTTCCTAACCATTCCCCTCTATTAACTATTGTCGTCGCAGTTATCTTCTGGACTTTCTAAACGTGTTCGTCATGTAATGGCATGCGGTACAAATTTCTACGATCACTGTTTCCCAAAAGATAGCGTGACATTGGGGTTCTCTTCTAATTGTGCACATTGGTTGCGTGACAAGCCTTGTGACATGACTGGAACTACATGTCACCTATTCATCACTGTACCAGAGGAAAAAGTAAAATTTCGAGCACAAGCCGAAAAAGACTGGGGATTATATCTAACGAAAAGAGCTGCCGAGATTAGCCCAGGTAAGTTTCGTGGTATTGACTGGTATTGAGTGATGTTGTATACGTACTATTTCTCTTGCGAGAATATCGTTCAAACACTACATGAATGTAAACTAGGAATACCTATAGTTTTCTGATATCTCTCCCATATCTGTTTAAAAGGAGGAAGTATGGTTTTGGTGGAGTTAGCTATAGTTGAACATGGCCACTTTACTGGACAAACGCCAGAAACCGTTGGTATCTTTCGAATGCTTTCCACACTTTGGAAATCACTTTCAGATGAGGGAATTATCAAATCACTAAGGTAATGAGTAATACATCGGTTTTCGTATGAGTGGCTAATGACAAAGGCAAAAATACTACTTTGCTAATGCAAATTCTTTCTCGGTCCAATTTACTCAGGTAGCAAAATAATGTTGCAAGGCAAAATTCTGTCTCATTTATCCAACAAATTTCAGAATATTTGGCCCATGCGTGAGCAAACTGGAATTAACGCAGAGAAAATTTGCATTTGCAAAGAAGTGTATTCGTAATTCATGGTCATGTTATGGCCATATCACATGAAATACTGGAAATAAAATAATAATGATAATAGAAATTTCTAATATAGCGCATTTCAAATATCTCAATGCGCTTTACATTTATGACCAGTGAGGACTTTACTGGCTACATATTAAGGCACTATTAGCAGCCGTGCAGCTTACAATCGTGAGTGTGAATTGTTAGTAAATTAGCTGGTGTTATGCCTCCAAATTAGGCCGTAGGATAGGCCATTGAACCGGGAGACTATATGTCCCCCATTTTACTGTAGGTTAGGAAGGGTCGGGAAAATAGGGCCTGGGGTTTTAAGTCCTTGTCCGAGAAGACCTGAATGTCTAACTATTTGCAGATGTAATTACAAAGACAGCACCTTCAGTTATTTTAAGACCCTGAGTGTTGATCCGGCCGAGGCTTGAACCAAATTTTGTATATGTTACGCTTTTTTAATATATAATTTGCGCCATTTCTATTGCATTTCCTTTTTTGCCTCTTATCCATGATAATTTCGTAAACGTTCTGTAAGGCGTTTGCAAGTCATTGGCTACAGTTAAATCCCTTTAAGTAAACGCTTTCTTATGACCAAATAGGCGTTAACATAATCAACCCCATAATCCTCAGGGCACTTGGCCACCTCAGCTTCGTAACGGTGGTACAATTCATCGACGATTTTAGATTTCTCTTCGGCAGAACGAGAATCCGATAATCCTGGAAGACACAGTAAGGGAAAAAATAGTTTAAATTGAAATTAAGAGAGTTCGTTAATGGCTAACTTACTGACTGAACGACCGACCGATGGACTCGGGCTTGCTAACTGACTGGATGGTTGATCGGACTGCACCGACTGGCTGACGGACTGAATGATCAATCGACCGACCGACTGATTGATTGCGCAATCAATTATCTGAAAGAAATGTGCTGTTGCTCCACGCTAGAATACTTCCTACGTATTTCTTTGCATGTTCTTTGGCATCTCCCTTCTCTTTAATCCATTTTTCCTTATATGCACAAGGTACGATTTTTGTTTCTATGGAAACCAACTCTAGACCTGCTTTGACAACAGGCGAGTCAGGACACTTGAATGGTTTCTTGAACTCATCTACCTTTCTGAAGTAAGAGATAATATTTGTTTTGGTAACCTCGTCCTGTAAGAACGAAAGAGTTTGGAAACGATTAGTTAATAGGCCACTTTAGAAACCCGCAAGAGACTGGGCCTAATTTAATTTTAATTTTAATCTAATTAGCAAAAGAGTTTTGTCATCTGATGAAGTATCTCAATATTAGTAATTATGTGAAATTTGAATGCGTTTCTTTAAAAAGAACCAGAGTTAAAGCCTTCAAAACTGTGAACAATTTACGAGGATTTTCCACACACAACCAACCCAACCAACCACTCAAACAATTAATGAAAGGTAAGTCTTCTTCTGAAGTCCCAAAGACCTTCCATCATACTCACCTTAGTGATAATTCCTTCATCTGAAAGTGATTTCCAAATTGTTGATAGAACTGTTTCACTACAATATTTGGCATCTTTCGTGTGTCCTGTAAACTGGTCATTCTCATCCACAGCTAACTCCGCCAGGGCCATACTGCCTCCTTTAAGGCCAAATATCAGACACTATTAATATTGATCCCATTACTATTCCAGCAATATCCTGCATGGACAGTTATTTTTAGAAAAAAACTATAACAGCTTTTATAAACACAGGAAGCCCAAACAAGGTCCTTTTGTAGCTTAAGAAAGGAATGTATGCGGGATTTGTATATCGTATAAAGTAGAGTGCTTTTAGTCTCACTGTTGAATAGTTAAATAAATTTATCTAACTTAGATAACTATTTAGTTGACGTAACCTAAAATAGTAAAAAGCGCGCCAAAAAACGGTCATGCTAATCCGGGGGGTTGTTTTACCAGAGAATGAGTGAATAGACATTCATTTGTATGATCGTTTCTCCCCCTGATCTCAGTAGCTGTTTACTCGTGGTTTCAAATTTAGGTGACGTCCGCTAAAATAGTAAATAACTTATCTAATTTAGTTGACGTCACCTATTCAACAGTGAGACTAAAAGCACTCTATATAGAGAGCATTTTAAGTCGTAACCTCACTAATGATTTTTGCATGTGTGTTCTTGCTGCTATTCCTCGTTTGTGTACGCGTTCTGCAGTTATACCAATGTATTATTTATAAATGTTACTGGGATGGTTTTGAGTCGGACATATAGCGACCTGAGTTAACAGACGTCTTACCTGGGCTAAGTTCGGCCGCTCTTTTCGTTAGATATAATTCCCAGTCTTTTTCGGCTTGTGCTCCAAACTTCTCTTTTTCCTCTGGTACAGTAATGAATAGGTGACATGTAGTTCCAGTCATGTCACAAGGCTTGTCACGCAACCAATGTGCACAATTAGAAGAGAACCCTAATGTCACGCTGTCATTTGGGAAACACTGATCGTAGAAATTTGTACCGCTGGCCATGACGAACACGTTGGGGAAGTCAAGGAGATAACTGCGAGGACCAGGAATCAAACCTTGGATAGAAGAACCCCGAGCACATATTGGATCAGGTGTATATATATTATAATATTGAGATATAAATGCACTCGTCAATTGACGGTCATATAATTGACACAACAAGTTCCACCCATGTTACCAAGTTTCGTTAATGATAGTATGGCAGAAGTTATAATCCAATCACATCGAAATTTAAATGGAGGCCTAATTTGAATTTTACAAGTTCTGCATTCTGTAAGCTTCAAAAAAATCTTCAAATCAAATTTCAAAAAAAGAACTGATCTTTTAACCTTGGTAGGATCGCCTTAGCTCAGATGCTTTGACTTAATACTTTTACCTTGTGTTCTCAAGAACACAGACGTGAAATCATTGACGGGTTGATCCTCGTAGATCACATTTATCGGTAGTTTAGCTCCGTATTTTTCTCGTATTGCTTTGACGCATGCGTAGATAAGATCCATTGAAATTCCACCATCAGCAGTCCCATAATCCACTAGGGTCACCACAGACTGTTTTTCTAGGGCCATAGCATCAAGTTCTCTCAGAACCAAAGGGGTCGCTGTCTTAACCACTTGACGATTAGCAATGCTTCGAGTTGAATAAAACCCAGAACCAACCTTACCGTACGGTAAGTGACTATGAGGGACCTGGAAGGAATCAAAGTCAATACATGGTTACGTCTGGTTACTTGAAAACCTAAAAAAGATGTTCAACTCAACAAAATACACATGCATTTTAAGTGGTGCTATTTTAACCACTTGACGATTAGCAACGCAACGAACTGAATAAAACCCAGAACCAACCTCACCGTACGGAAGATGACTATGGCTGTGACCGGCGACCCGTGGCATCATCCACTGTTTTTAATACGCGTTTAGCATTCTAAACCGACTGCATGGATGTCGGAAATGAATAAATTATAATGTAATTATGTCATTTCCCATGTGCCATTTCGGTCTCAGCTTTTATGTTCTATATTTCTGAACCCGACAACGATTCTTCATTGAGTGTATATACCGAGAGTGATAGATAGGTTTTCATAAACCCATGAAATACACATCAGCCTAATACAAATTAGTAGACCCTAATTCCATTGTGTTCTTTTGTTGTCATTTCACTATTACACATACACTAAATAATGTTAAAACACTCATTAATGATTCATAAGCTTATAGTCCAATTGGAGACACCATACACGTCACGTGCATGAACCTTTATACCCGATAAAGTCCTCTTCATTAGTATTCAAGTGATTTTATTTAAAGACACATGTGTCTTTATATAAAGACACATGTGATCTTTATATAAAGACACATGTGATCTTTATATAAAGACCACTCGAATACTATGAGGATGACTTCATCAGGGATGAAGTATACATCCAAGTTTAGATGAAGACATAAAGCTTCATCAAGGTCATAGTCAACCCTAATGATCTTTGACTAACGTGCCTCTCTTTGCCTTGGCACGCAATATCCAACGTGTGGGAGCTTCTATTGAATCTGGTTGCGCATGCCCATGACGTCAAATCTCTATCGAAGTATAAAAATC